ATTGTCATTAACAAAAATCTATAATTACGTTCTAACGCTAACCTTTTGGGTCAGGAAACACTCATTCCTCAATCACCCAATGAGGTTGTATGCAATTAAATATCAAAACAGTTTAATTAAGTAATCATAATAATGATATCAGCGTTCAACAGTCTATCTAACATGCCGCGACCGTGTTGCTTCTTTCTTGTAGCCGGCTATCAGTGGCAGAGAATGAAAAAACTCATACCTAGCGTTTCATTGGCATAAAGCCTGAAGAAATTTTTGCCAAATCTGAGGTCAAACCAATCTCTTTCGCGTGCGGGCGTTTCTTTGGAGCGAATCTTTTGGTCGTGCGCGCTTTTCCATTCCATTCTAATCTGATCTTATTCAGGGAAGGGCGAGGTAAAAACAACTAAGACGTTTTCGCTGGTTTAGATAAACAAAACTGCACGGATTAAAACTGACCCAATTGCTATTTTTGCCATAAAAATCGCGTTGAGTATGATGTTAGGTTTGAATTTCTCTTATTCGCCCTACACTTGATAGCTAATAAATAAAGCCATCCGATAGCACCTTTAAAACTGTTTAAACTCATTTTTATGATTCCGAATTCAAATAACCCTTCTTTGTGAAAAGAGATAATTTTCATATAAGCAGTAATCACACCGAGTTTGTGCAAGCTTCTTAACAAGTAATCATTTGAGAGAATCAGTCATCTGAAGCGAACACAAGATCGTAGTTACGCAATTCAAAATTCCGTAATTTCAAGTTGTTAAAAAGAGAGTTTCAACGGAAGTTTTAAATTCAGGAGTAAAAGCTTCTTTGTGCATATTCAAAGAGGTTTTCATAAATTCAACACTGTACAGCTCCATAAATGATCCCGGGACCGCAAATGATCTCAGGAGACAAGTACGCCTTTTTTTTTCTTTTTCTTTTTTTTTTTTTAAAGGAAAACCATACCACAAAAAAGTAGCTTTCAGGACTACCGAAAAAAAAAAAAAAAAAAAAAAAAAACAAGAAATAAAAAAAACGAGACAAAACGAAAAAAATAAGACAAAACGCAAGGAATCGGAAAAAAGAAGTACTTGGCCCAGTACTTGTCGGCCCTTTAAAACGGTCACGTGACCTCAATATCTATTTCGATGCGATCAGCACCAGGTAAGGAAAAACACTATTTTATACAACCCTTTCTACGACATATCCTTTCAATTTAGTCAACGGACATAAACTTTGATAAATAACCCTTTTTTCTAAAAAACAGTGGCGGGTCCCTCTGTTTAAGCGTAATTCAGGAGCAGTAGACTTGTCTGTTTATGTATTTGGTTTTTACGCCCGTTCAAAACTCAATCGTAAGAATTGCCGCCTTGAAAATTAATCAAATCTAAGATCTCTTGGTATTTCTGTGACGTCTGTTTTAATCAAATTGTATGGCTATAATACCTTTCTCTTAAAGTCGTCTTTACGAACGTTCATACAATCAGACGGTCTTCCTAGCTGTCTAAAATTCTTTCTGCTTATTTTGAAATTACTTCCCTTCTCGGTTTCCCTCTCTTAAACCTCGCAAAACCAGCATTAAACCCCCATGCAGTAATTTTTGTCTTTTAAAGTTTTAATTTCATACGTGTCTTGTTTCAGCTTTGTTTCTGACGGACGATCGATGCAAGTTAATTCCTTCAAGGTATAGACGGGTTTATTTTGTTTCATTCATATCGCGTCGACATTGAATTCTTTCGTCATTTCTAACTATATAACCATCACGTTTACTTTGTGCTGAGGTTAATTTTCGAAATGTTCAAAATGTGTTCAACGCTCTTAATTAAGGCCTTTGCTTCTGGTCAGAATTTGAACTTAAGTTTCGGTTTCGATCGCCCTTGACTTGCACTGTTTTCGGAAAAAGCTGTTGGGCAGTTTCGTGGCCTTTTGCAAACGCAAACTCCGAGCATAATGTTGACACTTTCGCTTTGTCGATCTTTACATCATGGCCCTCTTTTGAAGTATGGCGCTTTGCCAGTCACGAGATTGGACTTTGGCAAAAAAGATCCAGTAAGCCGTTGCACTCCCACAACAATAAACCTCATGTTAACAACGTGTTCTTACAAGAACACGGCACAAATCAACTGCCGTATGTAAATTTGCAGCGGTTTTATGAAATTGCGACAATTTGTATTGTCTCCGCTGACAGGAAGCTTACTATCGTATGAAATTTTAATGCTTTTATGAGTTCGGCTGGTGGAGATGGTTTAAAGTGTTATTTCCTGGGGTAGATCTTGTGTAGGCACATCAGATCTCTATAGATGGTTTTGCAACCAATCTCCAGAGACTCAGGTAACAACGGTGAAAGGATCAAATGCTGGTGGACGAACAGAAGCAGCTGACGAGATGTCTACTGTTTACGTCCACCAATATGGCGGCAAGTCGTAACGTGCAAACTACCTATCTTCATTGTGTTGGTTTTCTGTATGTTGGAGATAGAAGATTTATTCACTGGATGTTCTTAAGGGGAGCTTTGTTGAGATACTTCACCTACTTTGCCTCTCTGTTCAAAAAGGAATTATGAAACGAACACTGAAAGGTGTACTGTATTAAAAAAAAAAAAAAAAAAAAAAGAATGAACAGTAAGGAAATAATTAACATGAAAAATTTAAATCTTAGCTAACCAAGGGTACAAAGGAACAGGTACTTCATTGGAGATGTAGCGAGTACAAAGTAAAATGCAAGAATGTAATTTAAAAAAAAATGACAACAAAAGAAAAGAGGGAACTTGAAAGTGTCATCTTTTGAAAAGAAAAAACTTAAATACTCTTTAAGGTTATTTTAACAAAATAAAGGGAAGAAAATAAACCAATTTACCAATGCAAATTTAACCAAGATATTCAAACCCGCTTTTAATTCTTTTTTAATTAAGTGTTTTAAAGTAGCAGTGTTAAGGAGAATTGTGAGATTGTGAACATCTACTGTAAACAAGTTGTAGTGTTGTCACCCTTTGACTCCAAGACATGATAAATATTGCTTTTGCATCGCATCCCCCTATGGTTTGCACCAAAAAGAAGATAAGTGAGCATCAAAGGTGCAAACCATCAGAGAAGACTAGGGAGATGCAAGCCCCGAAAATGTTCTCAGCATAGAGGTTCAGGGACAATTTTCTGACATCTTTGATAAAAAAACATGGTGTATTAATTAGGAGTTTATTTCAGTTTATAGCAAGGGTCAAATCAATGTGCCCCTTGATTGGTTAGAACACTGTGTTCATCAGAGTTCAAAAGCATCATAAACTACTGGAAGCATCAAGGTAACTAACCCTTAAACAGAGTAATTGTATTTCTAGCAGTAAAGTTACTGGAGAGTAATGAGACAAATTCAGTAACACTAGCCAACTTTGGCCCAGAGATGAAGAGATTTTTGGTTTAAGATTTCCAGGGGTACAGACATAGCTGTCTATGGATGAATACCAGGAGGCCCCCTTTCTTGAAGGTCTTAGAGCCTGATCCTTGTGGGTCCTGGTAACTTATTAGGCCCACAAAGTTGTTCTGGTTTCAATCAAGATGAGGGTTTCAAAAGTTTTTGGGCTTGTTAAGTTGCCGTGACTTTTAAGAAATGGAACTTAGGCCCTTAGACTGATTGGTAACTTCATAGTGAAGAAAACAGTGGACAATGGTAGGGTTACTAGTCAGCTAGATGGTTATTATTCATGACCAAGTTTTAAGAAGTTTTAGCTGCAAGAAAGAATTATTGATCAAATATTTGAAGTCAAGAAATTGATTTAATGTAAATTATCACATGGCAACTCCAGTGTGATATCTTGCAAACAGGTTTGGAGAACAAGCAAGTTTATCAGTAAGAGGCTGTTACGTTAATATAAGCCAAACACACCTGTCTAATTTACAAAAGAGTCACAGGGAGAGAATCTTTTATTGGATCTTGGGAGTTAAATAGTAAAGTGATATCCAATGGGCAGCTGATGGGTTCATTCTTGAATTTCTGAACAGATTGAACTCACTTCCACTAACAATGGCAGCACATTCTGGAGAGATTTATGTGGAGAATGTCAATAATGAACCTTTCTTGTCAAAACGGAGGAAAGACCCTGATGCAACAATAAGAAAAAGTGTTGTGGTTCTAAGAACCAAAGACGTCCGAATATTTGATGATAGAGTGTATATGCCAACCACTATCGACATGGCTCACCTCAAGAAAGCACATATGGGACAATTTAAAAGGGATATACTGATTTCTTCAAATATGACAAAAATTGATGTAAAAGAAACATTGGAGAGCCACTTTCCAGTTTTGAGTGGCAGAAGGTAATTCGTATTTTTGTGTAATTTGTTTGGTTATTGGCAGATTGCTCAAACTGAGTGCTATGTGCATGTAAGTCATATACCTTTAGTATCAGCCTGGTGCAACTCAATGAATAAAGTGGGTAAGTTTCTAAAGAAACTGTGGTGCTGTATTGGTGGGAGTAACAAGGTAAAGTAGTTTTATCAACTGAGTTAAATAATTAACAATTATTCCATGAGCATGCACTGGATGTGAGATGATAGATAGCCAACGAGGCGCGTAGTGCCGAGTTGGCTATAATCATTTCATATCCAACAAGCGCCAGTGGAATAATTGTTTTATTAAAAACGTTAAATTATTAAATTTTGTTAAATTTTTAGCTCCCTTTTAATTTTAAGCTGACACGTATGCTTGCCATATTTGTAGATGATGGTATATTGGCTAATATATGATAATGGCTAAGCCAATAAAAAGTCTTGAATTGCAGTATCCAATGATCTAGTTTTTGATAATGTAAGTTGGCCACTGTAGAAGGTTTAAAAGCTGACATTTTGAGCATTTGCCCTTCCTTATTTTTCAGCTCAGTTAATAAAACCCCTATTATTATGATACAACTTAAGTCTTTTATTTTACTGCTAGAATTAAAGATATTAAAATTTGATAATGCAAAAAGTCACGAATTAATGAAAAAATCCAAGAAATTACTCAGATCATCAATCAGTCATTCAGTCAGCAATGTTGTAAGTTAGTCAGTTACTAGCTCAGTCAGTCGGGCAGTTGTTCAGTCAGTTAGTCAGGCAATCATTCAGTCAGTCAGTCAGCCAGCCAATCGGTGGATCACAAAAACTCTTCAAGAATCACTTACAGTTAAATTTTTTTACTTTATATTGTTAACACTGTTACTTAAGACAAACAAACGAAAGTCAGGAACATCAGAAAATACGGTCAAACCTGTATTAAGGGGTTACTGATGAAGAATGGAAAGGGGAATGCCTATAAGTTATATGTAATACTTATAAATGGTTATTGATAGTTTATTGAATAATGATGATCTATTATTGGAATTACCAAAAGGGAAGATGTACTCCACACTTGGTGACCGATCTTTTCAAACAGCCGCACCAAAACTTTGGAATGTTGTTCCATATTATATTAGAAATTCAAAATTGTTGAATCTTTTTAAAAATATTTAAAGACGTATTTATTTAAAGAAGCTTTTAGTTGTTAAATATCGAATTACATTAGATATATGATATATATTTTTGTACTTAAACTACACTATTATACATTTTTAGATATTTTATTGACACATGTTTAGCATATATATTATTTCATTATTAGATTTTATTCTTTTTCTATTTGTTGTTGTTTTTTTCAGTTAGATTTTTGTAACATTTTAGTTTCTGCACTGATGAAAGTGAATATTGATATTAGTGCAATACAAGTTAATATTCTTAATTGAACACATTTTCACATGTACATCAATGAATTACAGTGTGTTTACAAAGAATAATTAAATGCAAAATGTCTTATCTGGGACTCAGGGTTACAAATGCGATTGAAAATTACAAAATATAAAATTTGCACGGATAGTTATATGCAGACAATGCTTTCGTATCTTGAATTAAATTTTAAATGCAGAGTTCTGTATGGGATGTAAAGTTGAAAATTAAAGATTATTACTTGGGGTATGTCCTCGGATATCCCCCAGTTTATTTGGGGGGCATTTGGTCACCTGATGCATCTAGAACAATCCTAAGCAAGGGGAAAAAATGTATACATATAAATACATCTTGGTTATAGTCTATCCTTGTGGTAGAGTGCTCAATGTGTTTGCAGGGCGTGGTATATCTCATCGTCAATTTGGACAGATTAAAATCTGTCTGATAATGGCGTAAGTGTGAAACTCAGAGTCACAGAAAAAGTTATGTCTTATTGATAAGTTCAATCTTCATATATATATATATATATAACTAACTGCAGACAGTACTGTTTCGGCCTTCTGGGCCTCATCAGTGCAGTGCTAATGCTAGGATGGGGGAGAACCGAGACGGTCACCCCAAACGACCCAACCTTTGTGGTATCGTCTAAGCCATGCCAGAGTGCTCAAACTAGAGTAAACCAGCGAGCATGCGCAATTGCAACGGCAATGACTCATCCTAGATAGAGTGCTCAATTTGGACATGAAAGCAAAGCTTTGTATGCCAAAGAGCTATATCTAACTGCAGACAGTACTGTTTCGGCCTTCTGGGCCTCATCAGTGCAGTGCTAATGCTAGGATGGGGGAGAACCGAGACGGTCACCCCAAACGACCCAACCTTTGTGGTATCGTCTAAGCCATGCCAGAGTGCTCAAACTAGAGTAAACCAGCGAGCATGCGCAATTGCAACGGCAATGACTCATCCTAGATAGAGTGCTCAATTTGGACATGAAAGCAAAGCTTTGTATGCCAAAGAGCTATATCTAACTGCAGACAGTACTGTTTCGGCCTTCTGGGCCTCATCAGTGCAGTGCTAATGCTAGGATGGGGGAGAACCGAGACGGTCACCCCAAACGACCCAACCTTTGTGGTATCGTCTAAGCCATGCCAGAGTGCTCAAACTAGAGTAAACCAGCGAGCATGCGCAATTGCAACGGCAATGACTCATCCTAGATAGAGTGCTCAATTTGGACATGAAAGCAAAGCTTTGTATGCCAAAGAGCTATATCTAACTGCAGACAGTACTGTTTCGGCCTTCTGGGCCTCATCAGTGCAGTGCTAATGCTAGGATGGGGGAGAACCGAGACGGTCACCCCAAACGACCCAACCTTTGTGGTATCGTCTAAGCCATGCCAGAGTGCTCAAACTAGAGTAAACCAGCGAGCATGCGCAATTGCAACAGCAATGACTCATCCTAGATAGAGTGCTCAATTTGGACATGAAAGCAAAGCTTTGTATGCCAAAGAGCTATATCTAACTGCAGACAGTACTGTTTCGGCCTTCTGGGCCTCATCAGTGCAGTGCTAATGCTAGGATGGGGGAGAACCGAGACGGTCACCCCAAACGACCCAACCTTTGTGGTATCGTCTAAGCCATGCCAGAGTGCTCAAACTAGAGTAAACCAGCGAGCATGCGCAATTGCAACGGCAATGACTCATCCTAGATAGAGTGCTCAATTTGGACATGAAAGCAAAGCTTTGTATGCCAAAGAGCTATATCTAACTGCAGACAGTACTGTTTCGGCCTTCTGGGCCTCATCAGTGCAGTGCTAATGCTAGGATGGGGGAGAACCGAGACGGTCACCCCAAACGACCCAACCTTTGTGGTATCGTCTAAGCCATGCCAGAGTGCTCAAACTAGAGTAAACCAGCGAGCATGCGCAATTGCAACGGCAATGACTCATCCTAGATAGAGTGCTCAATTTGGACATGAAAGCAAAGCTTTGTATGCCAAAGAGCTATATCTAACTGCAGACAGTACTGTTTCGGCCTTCTGGGCCTCATCAGTGCAGTGCTAATGCTAGGATGGGGGAGAACCGAGACGGTCACCCCAAACGACCCAACCTTTGTGGTATCGTCTAAGCCATGCCAGAGTGCTCAAACTAGAGTAAACCAGCGAGCATGCGCAATTGCAACGGCAATGACTCATCCTAGATAGAGTGCTCAATTTGGACATGAAAGCAAAGCTTTGTATGCCAAAGAGCTATATCTAACTGCAGACAGTACTGTTTCGGCCTTCTGGGCCTCATCAGTGCAGTGCTAATGCTAGGATGGGGGAGAACCGAGACGGTCACCCCAAACGACCCAACCTTTGTGGTATCGTCTAAGCCATGCCAGAGTGCTCAAACTAGAGTAAACCAGCGAGCATGCGCAATTGCAACGGCAATGACTCATCCTAGATAGAGTGCTCAATTTGGACATGAAAGCAAAGCTTTGTATGCCAAAGAGCTATATCTAACTGCAGACAGTACTGTTTCGGCCTTCTGGGCCTCATCAGTGCAGTGCTAATGCTAGGATGGGGGAGAACCGAGACGGTCACCCCAAACGACCCAACCTTTGTGGTATCGTCTAAGCCATGCCAGAGTGCTCAAACTAGAGTAAACCAGCGAGCATGCGCAATTGCAACGGCAATGACTCATCCTAGATAGAGTGCTCAATTTGGACATGAAAGCAAAGCTTTGTATGCCAAAGAGCTATATCTAACTGCAGACAGTACTGTTTCGGCCTTCTGGGCCTCATCAGTGCAGTGCTAATGCTAGGATGGGGGAGAACCGAGACGGTCACCCCAAACGACCCAACCTTTGTGGTATCGTCTAAGCCATGCCAGAGTGCTCAAACTAGAGTAAACCAGCGAGCATGCGCAATTGCAACGGCAATGACTCATCCTAGATAGAGTGCTCAATTTGG